TTATCTTATTATAGCTTTGTTTTTGGGCATTATGTAGTAATTTATGACAAGACTCATCTATTAAGAATTATTGAGAAAAGATTACATCAATAATTTATTGATATAAGGGTATAACCAAAGATATACATTTAGAGGAATATATTTAAATAAAAAATTACGAGTAAATATTCTTTAGCTGGTTATATTTCCTCAAAATCCTATAATGAAAGATTATTAACTTTATTTAATTTAGGATAATTTAAATTATCAACAGCAATTTTATAGCTTTTTATTGTTAAGTAATGGCTAATAGATACATTCAGAAAAATTATAACATATTGTTACTTGAATTTGTTTCCAAGCCTTTAACAATTATTAAGACTCTAATAAAAAAATCAGTGTTTTTGATTTAATTATCTATTTTTGAATATTTGAATTAGACAATGTATTACTAATATAACAAATTGTAATTTTCTAAAAAATTATACTTGGCAACAATTCAAAAATAGATAATTTTCCTACTAAATATTCATTTTAAATTATTGAGTTATCATCTGATGAATATTTTATAAATTGCAATCCAATAGTTCAAATCTCTCAAAATGAATTTAAGAATATTCAATATGAATTCTAAGTTTACTTACTAAATAAATACTACTCAAATATTTAGTATTAATTAAATGAAACCATTTTGGATGAAAATGTAATGTTTTTATCTCTAACTAATGTATCAATTGAACTTACAGTTCCTAAATTCTGACAAGATCTCAATTAACAGCTTCTAAGACTTTATAAAAAGCTGGCTATTGTATGATGATTAGTTTGAGTTGTAGTGGCTTTTTAATGTTGCTTTTGGGGAGGTTTTCATAAATAATTTCATTATTAGACATATTTTAATAAAATTAGAATACCCTTAAAACATTTATATTTATTTTGAATCTTCTAATTTCATTGCTTTGCAACCATTTTTGAATTTTTTAAACTTTCCAGATTTAAATTCAAATATATTTCAAAATAGTTTTAACAGAGTGCACTTAAGTTTAAAGAGTATTAAATAAATGCTAATTTGCTTAGAAATATTGATAGTTTGATGTTCTAAATTTTTTTGTCTGTACCTTTTGTTTACTTCTGTATGTATATGAAAATATATTTCGAAACATATTTTTTTAAGAAAGGTTTTCTATAATATTCAAAAATTTAGATGGAAAATTATAAGATCTCTTTCTATTTATCTATATCAATTTAAAAAGAAGAACTTAGAAATTAAAAGGATCATCAGTAAAGAAGCTTTTATTAAATTTATTTATGCAAAAAGTTAAGACTTAATGTTTAAAGTTGGTATTTTTAATTTCCAATAAAAAGTCTGAAATTCAATATAGAGTTTCCTTATTAATTTGTTTTGTGTATTTAGGAAACATAATTTTGATTTCCTTTTTGGATTTGAAAAACATATGGTAATAAAATTATATAAGTTTTTCAATTATAATACGGAAAGTTAATTTTATTTAAATAATTCTCTTTTCATTTTCTTTTAACATAATTTAAATTTTATCTTATACTGTAAAGCCTACTAATATTACTAGTTAAAACTACTTCAATTATTTTGATTTTAGATTTTAAACCTAAAATAAAATAAATACAATAAATAAAATTCAACTATTAGCTATTTTATCAAATGAAATTCCAATAGTAGTGTTCACGCTATTAAACATCTCAGATGAGAATTTTTAAATCTATTAATCTTTAAATAAACAAATATAAATTGTATTTGCGTAGATTGGGTTGCTAATTTTCTTTTTAATATGTTTAAAAATTATCTCGAAATTATATTTGAGTGTTATAATTAATGGAAATAATTTAAACAAAGAAAAAGCAATAATATGATAGAAGATAAGATATCTACAAATGTTTTCATTTTAGCATTTTGAAATAATAAATTAGGATTTAATTTTATACAAAAAATTATATTCCGATAATAATATTTTTTAATCTAAATAAGTGAGAAATTGTGATCCCCTAAAGTTAAAAAGGAAATTTGAAGTTATATTTATTAAAAGTAAACCTCATTCGATATTATGTTTGGAATTTAATCACCATTTTTTATTCAAAAATGTAACAGAATATAAATAATGTGATTACTTACAATTCTTTTCAATCAGTAACAAACAATAAGTTTTGTCTTAAGTTCCAAAATGATTAATTAATTTTTATTTATATTTAAGGCATTTCAGACAATTATTTTAATTTTCAGAAATCTTATATTTCTTATGTAAAATATATTTATTAGAAGCACTCTGAAAGTAATTTATCAAGTTGAATTAAATGTTATATGATTCTTTAAATGGCTTTTAGTGTGATTTAATAGTAAATTAGATATGTTTATTGATTTAATTTCTTAAATCACATAAAGTTTCTAAAAGTAATTCTTGCATACTAATTATAACATTATTAGTTCAAATTAACACTTCTTGAGAATTAAATTATGAATAAATTATAATTAATAGAGGAAGTAGGAATAAAATTATAACTTTGAGATATTTTCTTAATTCTAGAATAGTTCAATGACAAATCCCTCCTTAGTTTTAACCTTAAGGATTTAATCATAATTATATTATAGGACATATGTCAATTACACAAATTATTTTAGGATTTAACTTTTCTGCTTTATGAGTCTGATTCTAAGCTATATCTATTTTACTAAATCTAAAATCAAAAATACATTTATTGTATTTAGACAACAAATAAAATATATTAAATATGATTAGTGTCTTGTTAGTTAGTTATAATAACATAAATTAAGTGATAAAGAAGAGGCATAGTATAATATTATTAAAAAGGTCAAGGATAAAGAAAAACTAATTATTGAATTTCTACAAGTGATATATATATTATAAGCTATCTCAAAGAGATTATTTCTTACTATAAATTTGATTTTTGATAAAATTATTATTTCTATAATCTTTAGAATAATCTATTTTAATTATAGAGAAATCAAAGTATGTAATTTACAACATTGAGATGGTCAAAATTTTTGGGTTAAAAAGCACTGTAGATTTGATAGTCGAAAATCAGGATAATTGGAATTCTTTATTTAATATATGATTGCTATTAAAATTGAAATTAACTACAAAAGAACATTAATTAACAAAAAAATAAAATTTCAACAAAATAACCTATATGTTTTAGAAGAATTTGAAAGCATTACTAGCATTAGTTTTAAAGTATTTTGAATGTTATAATATAGGTAATTTTCCTTTTATCGTAGATTTTAGACATAATTGGGATATCAAATGATATTATAAATGTATTAGACCATGTTTGAAGTTATGATGATTTTTTCTAATTCATAAATGTGTATTTCATATTTAGAAAAAATCAGTATAATTTTCTCACCCTTTAATGCTATCAATTTTCAATTAAATTCTATACAAAAACTAATATGATCAACATTAAATTAAGATTATATATTAATAAAATTTATAAATAAATAATTGATATAATCATTATCCAATCCTCCATTTCATTTTTTTGATGATATTCATTCTCTTCTTACAATGTTATTGAATGCAATTAAAAGAAATTCAAATAGACTGCTATTATCAATACTTCTTACAATTTTATTAATATTCTATATAAAGTAAAGGAGATTAAGTAAAACAATTACTTAAATCAGTTTAACTTATTATTTATAATTTTACTTAAAATGAATATTGCCAACTAATAAGAAATAAAATTCTCTAAATAGCATAAAGCAAACATAATTTACCTAAACAATAAAATGAATCTCTGACCATTTACCTATTTTAACTCTAAATTGAACTATAAAAATTTGATTCGAAAATCAAATCGTAGTTTTAATCATTCAATTTTTTTAATTTGTCATTATTCTCGCTCAAAAAACTGTAAATTATTCCACTTCTTATAATATAAAAACTAAATTCCTTATTATTAATAATTAAAATCTTTTTAATACAAATTAATTTGTCAACAAAATATATAATATTTAAATATGATCTATAATAAATTTGATAATATTATGTACAAAGTGATTCATTCAATAATTCATAATTATAAATAAATTGCGTTATTTATGAGAAGCATTTTCAGAAAATACCATTTAGAATATTTCAATAAAGCTTAAATACTTGAAAAAATTAATTGTACTCTTTTCTGTAAGGTAAATCCAAGATCTAACATAATAAATGCATGATATAAATTCAATTAATTTGCTTAATAGAAAGTTTATTCTAAATTTCTCAAAGCCTTCTTAATATAATAAAGTAGATGAACTAGTGATGAGTATTTAAGAAAAAAAATAGATAATCAAATTAAAAAAATATTACATTAAGAATCAGATTTTAATATGTATTATGAAATTTTATATTATGATATATTACAAAGGACACTTGATTTTGCATATTAATTAGCATAGAACTATGAGTATATACATAAATTTAAAATGATTATTAAACCTACTACTTAAATTATATTTTCATAGGTTATTAAGAATTTTTGAATATTAAAATATCTAAGTTTAATTCTAATTTTTTTTACACTTATATTTGATAACAATTTTTTCAATAAAGAGTATTTCTAAATTGATGGTAGTTTCATAATAATTAATTTGTTAATTGAATCAACTAATTAGTAATTTTCTTCATAAATGAAAGATGTTATGAAATTTAATATAAATAATTATAATATTTCTTTAAAATATTGTAAATTAAAAATTAAAAGAAAATCTAAACATATATTCCTCATAATATGATAGGTAAATGATGAGAAATTATTTTACAGATAGTTTGATAATTGTCCAACAATAAGCTTCTTATTTATCCCCATTATTAATATTTTTTTTATATTCAATTTTTACTTATATGAATACAAAGATATTAATAATAATAAGGTAGAATTAAAGAAAATATAATTAAAGGTAGTAAAAAACTTAAATAACCATTAATAATGAGTTTTTGTATCATATCTATTAGTAACATTAGCTTAAATTCAATGGAAACAAGATATTTATCTAAATAATATCAATGAAATCAGTCCACCCATAATAGATGGTTAAACATATATGAATGATTTTAATTTATTTGAAATCTACATATATAGATTATTGTAGGAGTTAGAACATTTAAATTATAATTAATCCTCTTTGCTTTGTAAATATAAATCCTGAACCTGTGAAATTGATGATTGTGACTTCGTATAAATCTAATACATATAAATATATTGATTCCTTATATATCTTTCAAATATTGAATTTTGTACCTCTATTTGATCTTCTATTTCAGATGAGATTTTTAAAAGTGATTTTATTAGTGATTATCATTAAATTTTCAATAAAATACATATCAGTAAAGTTCATAATTTTTTCAATTTATTTCGTTCATAAAAGCTTTACATTCAATAATAGGGTAATTAATAGAATAGGCTGATAAAATCACTAATAATTTTTAATCAATTATATGAGCTATTGGTCAATTTTCTTATAAACTACATATGATTTATTTGCATGATTGAAGTGATTTTAATAAATGCAGCATATTTAGTTACTACTATAAATAGAACACAATATTGTCCAAAAATATATACCAACATTTTCTTTTCTGTGAGTATGTAATTGTTGTATCAAAACAAAACATATTTATAATTATATGCAAAATTATTGCAATAAATTATGAATTTTTGTTTAAACTGTTAATATTCTGAATTGATTTATATCTTTGTAAAGAAGCTGAATAGCATTAAATAAGAATGATAATCATATCCATAAATATGATATCATGCTGGACTTGTCAAATTGGTTATCTTCAAACAAATAATTAGGTCTTGATGTTTCGTTATAAAAGCTTAAATTAATTAACCATAATAAAATTATCTGCATTGAAGGTGATAAATTAAAAATATCATTTATAATAAAATCAATATCTCTAAAATTTATTAACATATATTTCTGAGTTAAATTTATGTAAATTTTAATGCCTATATATACATATAAATATATATAACCCAAATTTAATGTTTATAACTTAAGTTAAGTAGTAATTATTATTAATTTTACAAATAATAGCTACTATATATATCCATGGTTATCAAATCTTTAAATCTTCCTATAATAATTTAATATAAATTGTAGTTCATTATTTTTTTTCTTATTAATACTGATTTTGACTTTTAAAATTAATACTTATCAATCAAATCTTTTATTTAAATTAATAATCAAAATGTTCTTCAGCAATCAAGAAAACACACAAAGTAATAAATAAAATGTCCCTTTAACAAATAAATCATTCAATTATTAACTAATAAAAAATAATTCAGTTAAATAAGATTAAATTTGTTATGCAATAGCTATTAATAAAGATGTTTCAATTGTTTTAGTTGCATGTAGTAAGGATATTAAAGTATTTGAATTCCAAAAGGAAGTGTTGAAACAAACTTAACTTTTGATTGATCATTAAGATTATGTAAACACTTTAAACTTTATGAATAAATCTAATCGATTTATATCTGGAAGTAGTGATAAGTAAATTATAATATGGGTACAGAATTAAAACAATTAATGGGTTTTTTAAGAGAAATTAACTGGACATACTAATCAAATAAGATGTTTAGTGTTAAATAATAATGATGATTAGATCATTTCAGGTAGTTCTGATAATACGATTAAATTTTGGATGAAAAAATAGAATGAATGGTTTTGTTCATAAACTATTGCAGAACATACTTAATAATTACTAGCATTAAGTTTGAATGATCAATAAAATAAAGTGATTTCATGTGGTTGGGATGCATTAATATTAATAATAAAATAATCATAATAGGATTCCAAATGGATGATAATCTAAAAGATAAAGGTTGAATAATATGGTTGTCGTATATGCTTTATAGATGATAACATATTCACATTCTAACCATTTAGCGAATATTATATGCATATATATGAAATGAATAAAACTAATGAACAGTATTCAAAGGTAAAGCATATTGATCTTAAAGGTGGTTATGATTAATGGTATTTTCCATAATAGTATGTAAAATCAAAATGTATTCTTGTAAATGAAAATAAAAGTTGTGTATATTTGATAAGGAAAATTGGAGATTGCGAATTTAAAATAGAATAAACAATTTAATTTAAAGATAATAGTCAAATTTATGGATAAATGAGTGATGATGGTTAGTATTTGATCATTTGGGATGAAGGTTCAAAAGAAATTCAAATTAGAAAATATAATGAAATATGAATTACACAAAAATTACAATATCGATTTATCATTTAATTTTCTGTACATATCTTATTTTTGATGTTCTATTTCGATATTGAAAATTATTTCTTTTACTCTAAAATTTATCAAATACTTTCTATTACTTTATAAAATTATTTTTAAATATTAAACTAGATGTAATTTGTTTGGGTGGAGTGACTTTTAAGTAGGAAGTGATTCTATGTTTGACTGAATAAGCAGGAATATAGGAAGCATGCGTAACTTCTAAGAGTAAAATTAAAATATTAAACTTATTCAATAGCAGTGAAAAAAGTAAATGTGCTATCAAAATCTTAAAGAAATCATCAGTTGTACAGTTTTTCAGATCAAGTAGTGATTTATAGTTCTATTATTGCTTTAATAGAGCCACAAGTTAAATCTTTTGTTAAATTTCCTTAAATTGAGTTATTGAAATCCAATGTTTTGGGGGAAAATCAAAAAATAAAAAACCTAATTATTTTTATAAAATGATAATTATACTCCTCTAAATATTTTTTAAATTGATCTATTTGGCTATTGCAATTCAAACTTTACAAAAGATAGTTTTTGACAATAATTTCAGAATATTTAATGTGGAAAGGATTTCACAATCTCAATTTGATTAATTAATTATGAGAAGAAGATAAATACTATTTGTGAAAATTAGTGAGGATTACTTGAAGCAATTTTATTCCCAAAACCTCTAATTATTCTATTCTCATGAAGTATGCTTGTTAATATAGAAGGTTACAACTGTTCATTATATTATTATTTATGCAAAAAATAGAAAAATTGTTATTAACAAAAATAATAATATAATTGTGTAGATAAAATTACTGTATTGAAAATAATAATTTACATCAATAAAATTTATTCAAACAATCTAATATAAATGTAATTTCCATGAAAATGGTTAATTATTCAAATTTTAAGTTTCTATTGCAACATTTCACCAAAAATTCTATAATTATTTTATAATAAAGTTAAGTTTTTTCAGCAAACTTAGTAAAAATACTTTGCCTTGTTCATTGACCACTTATCCATAATCAATACTTTGGTATAAAATTATTTAACTTCAATAATGAATTAAATCTATGTTTATCAAGATAAGAATTAATTTAAGTAAAATATAAAATTTTAAGAAAATAACATTCAAAAGGGCTGAATATATTAACAATTCAAATATTGAAAATCAATGTTATTAATCAATTATGAAGGTTTTATTAAATTCAATCAATTAACTGTGTTTTCTACTAAAAAAGTTGAATATAAAAGTATTACAAAAAATAAAAAAATTTTTTAAATCAAATTTTTAATTTCTAACACTCAAAATATAAATTAATAACGCATCCTAAGAATGAATGTTAATAAGTATTTTCTAATACTTTTACATATATATATATATGTAAGGAAAGCTTTTATTGAATCAAAAGTTATTTATTTGATTGTTATCTCTTTTGAATTTATGTTATTCTGATTAGAAATATTTTTAGCTGAATAAAGCTACTCTAAAATTGTTTCATCGATTCTTCAAGAGGGTCTTTATTTATCAACATAAATAAAATTATTATTGGTTGATTCATTATAAGAAAGTAATAGACTACTAAGTATTGACTACAAAGATCCTAAATTAATGATGTTATAGACCCAACTAACTTATTAAGGTGTAAATTTAGATATGTCTGAAATGGGAATGATGCTAATCTAGTAAACCATTCATAGTTTAATATCATATTGACTGACAACTAATTAGAAATAACAATTATAATTTTACTAAATTTAAAACTTTTGGATAATGAAATTAATCAAAACATTTTATCAGTTATAAGATGATGATTATTTTATTTATGATACATGGGGAGATCTCATTAGAGAAAAATTAACTTTCTCGTATTAATACTGCTAGTTTAGTAATTAGTCTAAAAAATCATCAGAAATAAAATTGATCCTCCTCCTAAGTAAAATTCCACTATCTCCTTTTTTTATAAGTAATCATCCTTTTTGATCTATGAAATGGTTATAAATTATCAATGGTTTATAAATATATTTAAATAAGTAGGATAAAATAATTTATTGACCATATTGGTCTACTTAATTTATAATGGTCAGATCAACCTGATAATATCTCTAAATAGAATTTTCTTCATTATTAGTCCTGAAATGCTAAAACTATATAATTAATAATAAAGATATTTAATCAGTTATAGGATTTTTTATCTAAAAGAAAACTTAAATTATTGCTCTAAATGCAAAAGGTATAGGTAATATAAGCCACTATATGTAGAAATTCTTTATTACTGAAAACTATAATATGTTTCTAATAGTTTTATTTCAATTTGGCTTAACCCTATATTTTGCCCCTATTTTAATAGCAAACTTTCTATTTTGATTGATGGTAATGTAATTTACTACAGAAAAAGGATGTGAAATATTTTCGGAAACGGAAAAAATAATAAACATACTCATTAAAACCTTTATAAACTAGTAGGAGCAATTTTAAACTCTAAATAAGCTGGGTTTAATCTGTCCTTTTTATCCATATAGAGGATCTGGATAGTATTTACTGTTAGTTCAGAACAAGGTATGTGTGAGTTAGCCAATGAGCTCTATTATTCTGATTGAAGGTTCACATATTAATAAATTTCTTCCTTGAAACGTTAAAGTAATTTATTTCTTTGTATTGTTTTATTTGTTAAAATTCAACAAAAATTTTATCTTTATTCTGAAAATTGCTTTGACTTATAAAAGTTAAATATCTGAATATAGGAAATATAAGGGGCCCTATGGAGTTTATTATGTTCATGAGATATCTCGGAAATCAATTATCAATATACCACATATAACAATAATATGAAACTTAACTCTTCATCAAAGACTTTTGCCTATACATATTACCCCTAAGCTACCAAATACATATACAGAATTTAAATTCAACTGGAGTAAGAATTTATGTATTGGTCCATTCTGTTAATGTAATTTAGGATGGAAAGAAGGTCTGAGCCATTATTAAGATTACAGAATGAGTGCCGACCCATAAGATTTATAAGGCTGCCTACAATCAATAAGAATTGAACTTAATAAATAAATAAATTAAAGAATGGCCTACAATAAATGGGGTGAACTATTAGAGTGGACGAATGGTTAGTGATATGAAATCAATACCACAAATTTCTAAGAAAGACTCATACAGGTATTTTGTCAAAGTATCGAATGCTAGTGTCCTGACCAACCCATCTGAATAAAAATTAGATGTTCTGGACTACTGAAGAGATTTTCATAGCTAATTCACATTCACTAAAGACATTAGCCTTCTTCATAAATTTAGAGAGACTTCTAATGAGTTCTAAATCCTGAATATCAACCTAAATACTAATGATAAAAGATTCTTAATGTCGAAATAGCAGTTAAATTGTTTGAAGAAATCATGAATAACTAAAATTATGGTGAGAGAAAACATCTTTAAGGAAAAACTTCACATTTTGCTGTAGGATGATGGTAAATTAGGGAAAGCAAATGGATGGATACTATATGAGGTAGGAGATAATGAAGTGATGAATCTTTATGAGTTTCTGGCAAGTGACGAATAGACTGATAGAATAGAAAACGCCATTTTAGCGGGCTGTAATTTTCCTATGTTTGGAGTCAAGTAGGGCAACTCTTGGATGATTAGAATGGTCTCTTGGTATTGGGGATTAAACTTGGATTACTTAGTTCAAAGATGATATTGAGGTAACTTTATTAATTAGGGACTTTTTTTTTACATATTCTATCTAAAAAGGAACAAAGTGGAGTTTGCTTCCAATAGGAGTAAAGGAATATGTATTTGCTCTCTTTGTCAAACATTGTTCGAATGGAAAGAAGCCTTAGGCCATTAATGCAAACAAACATTGAATGTCAACTTCAATCAAATTTTCGATCATTTGACAGTCAACAAAAAATGACATATTAATAATAATTCATTCTCTTCATTAAAATAATTTAAACCTCTTATTATAATTAATTATTGAACTTAAGTTAGAATGGGATGTATTAAAGATATACTGTCCTGCTTTATAGGAAAATCTGTCTTAATTTTCCAGAAATAAATTAAAGGTGAGGGAGAAATGGAATTTATTATTTTGTAATTGATTATTAAGTTATATTATTTTTCTTTGTCTGATTTAAAAAGTAAGTAAAAAATTCATGATTATTAATAATCCTCTTATAGCCCTATTAAATTTAATTTTGAAGCCTTCCAATACTAAAACATCTTCCTCTTCCATAATAAGATCTTAACTTGTAAACTAACTAACCTTTGGTTATAATATATGCTGATATTATTGACTAAAGAAATTAAATGAAAAATTCTCCAATTTTTGGAAAATTTTTTATGTAGCTTCTCTGGCTTTTACTCTTCTTTTTCTAAGATCATTGAATATTTGAACCGAACTGCATACTCTAATGCAATCCCTTTTAAATTCATTCTATTCTTCCTTTTCCTTTGTTGGGTGAACCTACTTAATACTCATTATAAATACAATATTGTATATTACGCAAATATAATAACTATATTAATATTAATTGATCAAAATTATTAAAATGAAGGCAAGTCATATATGCAGAACAGTTGAATAAACAAAAAAATTCATAGGAAAGAAAAATTAATTTAAAAAATTAGTTTGATAAAAAAGAATTGATGTCATTTACAATATAGGTACTTTATATCAAACAGCAAAGAAAAATGAATCGATACTATTACTTAAATAGTAGTGAAATCTTTAACTTAATATAATTGAAAGTAGCCCTAAAATATAACTAAAGCCATTTACTTATATACAAAACTTTTCTATATTGAAAGTTTTTCATAATTTAGTTTTATCATTTTTTTTATTTCTCCTCTCACTTTCCTAGAAGATTTTTCAATTTTGATAATATGAGTTTGTATAATTATCTCAGTTTATAGTGAAATCTCTAATAATATAAGTAGGGTGAGCTTTTTAAACATAAGATATCAAGATTTAAAATTAAGAAATTATATCACATCAAATCATATTTATTTTATTATTATAAAAATATATTTGTGCTGAATTAATCTAATTATTATGAAAGTTTCAATTAAAAAAATCTAATTTATTTTTCTGAAAAGAAGGATTTAATTTATGGTATAATTTTGAAGGATCATGAAAAAATCTTTAAACTAGACATCATTCTCTTTTCCATATATTAATTTGAAAAGCGTCATTAAGCTTATACACTCTTTAATACTATTTACTAAAAAGAAAAAATAAATATAATTTATACTTGATATTCTACAAATTCTAAAGCTTTTTCTGAATTTAAGCACTTACATTATTGGACTTATTTTGTAAAATGAATACATAAAGATGTACATCTTTTGTTTTAAATAAAGAGAGATTTATCGTTTAAAAACTAAAAATTTTGATTTTTTTTATAATATTTTTTTTCAAAACTATTTTCTTCTCCATCAAACCCAAAAATGGACAATCTTATTTTAATTTTGACATAATTTATAATGCAGAGTAATTAGAATTAATAATCCTAAAAACAATTTGATTCCATTTTTTTTTGTTAAATATGAGTGATAATCTTGAATTCAGAAGATTTTCTGATTTTTAGGATTTAAATGCTTCCTATTTTATGATTTCTTCTTGAATTGGAGACTAATTGTTTATAGGCAATATGAGACATTGTAAAATCTTCATATATTTTTAATTATCATATCATAATGTTTGGGAGTGGAATTTTGACGATGTAAATTTTAGTTTATGGCTTTGAAACCATAGATATGAATCATTCAAATCAAAAACTAAGACAGATTATAACTATAAAAGAGTAATACTAACATTAGGACTATTATTTTACATTTGGTTTATGGTCGAAATATAATCCTCTTGGATAAATTAATTAGATAGAAATATATAGATTTTATGATAACTATTTCTTTCATTTACATATAGCTATCGGGTAAGAGTCATAAAGTATAAACATTACTTATTATGATTGACTATGAAAAACAATAAAATACTTTAAACCTTTTAGAAATCATAAATAATTTGAGATGAAATAACAATTAAAAATAATTTAATTTTATGGCATTATTTTAAAGTAGAACTAAATACTAATTAAATTACTTTGAATTTGAAGTTTTATGAGAAATAAAATAATTCTGATCATATGACAAGATAATATAATTTAGATTAATTAAAAATTACTAATTGAAAATATAATTTGGAAATTATTAACAAGTAACTTTCAATTAAAAAACTTTCATAATTATAATTGTTATTAGCTTTTGAACGAAGATAATTGTCATTACAGTTGTTTAACATGTGATGGCCAAACAAATGAAAACTGTTTATCTTGCTTTAAATTCTCTCAGAGAATTTATAGGTGAATTTAAGGTTTTCATATGTCTTTAGTAACTTATTTAGATTCAAATTTATACTTTTTCTAATCAAATTTGCACACTATTAAATGCAAAAAAGGTTATTTTGAAATAGAGAAAGAGTGTTAATTATGGTATTATTTTATTAATATTATAGTCCATTGATAGTTAATAAAAATATGATTATATTTTTTGAATGTTACAGTAATCCATTGAACTGATAGTTTGATCTTACTTGTCAGAAATATCTTTTCTTGTCAGATTTGGGAAGTATAGAATAATCATATTTTATTAAGGCAAAGAAAGATATTATTTTGATGGAACTATTGATTACTTTACATATTTAAGATAATGCAAGAAATGTATTATCGATAACTGTATTTTTTGCTTAAAATACATATGCTATAATTAAAACTTTTGTTCTTTGTTGCCTTCATATCCAATATTTGAGATAAAATCTTAAAATTAAAATAAGTTGTGCACTTTGTAAAGATAATTAAAATTTTGATTTTAATGCATATTTTAGTAACATTAAATAAGAAATTTTTTAAGTTCTTTTATTGATTAAGAGAGAATAGAATAATGAACAGTATCAACACAAGATGATTTTTCTATTGCTCCTGAAAAACTTAATAGAATTATATACAAAATTGAGTACTGTACATATTGAATATTGAAAGCATTAATTATTTTGTGTGCCTTGTCAAAATGAGTTTATTAAAAAAAATACTTTTTTCTTTAGAATGATGAATTTTCATATCCAGATTATCTTCTTAAGAGCCAAAAACATTAAATTCAAAGTTTTATTAAAATATGAATATGAGATGAAATTTGTAAAACCCAAGCAAAATGAATATTTTGGTTCAGATTGTTTAATGTGCTAAGAACAACCAATTTATTATTGTAAGTTATGTCCCTTAAATTATTTCAAATAGAAGTGAAAGTGAAAAATGTTTTGATTGCCCTCAATTGATTTAAGTATGTTTATCTCTTTCAAAAATAAAAATTATAGTATTTATATTTATCATATTAGGCTTATAAACAATAATATATATCACTAATTAAAATGCAATTTGCAATGAGAAATGCATTAAACCTTATGCGTATCCAGCAACTTATTTTGATCCATATAATTAAGTTTCTGGATATTGTTTTGATAAGGAATGTAATGACTCTTTTGGATATAAATTCTCATACTAATCATGTGATTTTTCACGATTTCAAAATAAATAATAAGAAATAATCAAAACTAAATATTGCAATCAATTTGTAATATAGAATATAGATATATCTATTTAAAGTTTTTTAGAGAAATTAAGCCTTCTTTTTTCCTATGAAATATAAACGAAGCTAAAAGAAAAAAATTTTAGTTTATTTGAAATGTATTCTTTAAACAGTTTTAATGTTCACCCATTTAATCAGCCTAATTTATTAATTTTGGCCAAGTTGAAATAAATAATTTAAGCGATAAAAATTGAAATAATCATCTCTTTATTCTAGAAAATGATAACAATTTTATTAATTTAATGTTTATTCAAGAATCTTCATTATTCGAGTCTAATAAATTGTCACATTATATGAAATATATATAATTGTACATTAAGTGATTCAATTATAATAATAAATGAAAATTTCATGTTTGAGATTCAATGGAAGCATCCTTGGTCACACAGTAGATATATTTTTACTAGCATTACTTCTTAGACACTACTAGTATATACGAAGGAGACCCATAGGCTATCCATTCCACTGGGGACTTGTCCTTCACTCATTGTTGTCATGTACAGTTGTAGACTAGTGCTTAAACAAGTTTTGATCTACTTCCTTTAAAACACTCATACCTATTCAGCACCCAATCCGTTAATTTAATTTAATTTTATATTTCTAATTTTTAGAATAACATTCTTGTTCGAAATTTTAAGATGGAAAATTGTAATTTACAACAACCACAAATTTTATATTTTGCCACTTATAATCTTAGGCACATTTTACTAAATTTCAGTTACTGTTCCTATAAGATAACGAAATCTAAAACTCAATTATATTTAGTTGCACTAATCTTATTGAATTCAAAATAATTAATGTTTACTATCCTAGCTCTTAATTTTAAATTAGAATTAAGAGAGATGAACTTTTTTTTTTCTTCATAGTTTGTGATTATTTTCTAGAAACTATTTTAGTTAAAAATCCCTTGTTTAATAGATAACATTTAAGTAATTGAAAATACTTTCTAAATATCAAACCCATTTTAAATTTTTCCGCTTTTTCAACTAGCAGTCTGGCAATTACTATTTAAAACACTTTAATATAATACAATTATAAGTAATCTATAGCCATGACCTTTTTATTTTGAAATTGGAATGAGGAAAAAAAGAAAGACATAATTATGATTAAAATTTTCAAAAATAATCAATATAGATTTGAATAATTTTTTTATGTAAGTTGTTATGAATTTATTCGAAACGCTATAATCATATCTCATAATAATAAACTCTTGATGTTATTGTTATCAAAAAGTTAACATATAATAATTTTGAATTTAGATTGCTTAGGCTTATTTAATGATTTTAAGATATCTCTATAAATCTCTAATCTAAAAGTAGATCAAAATAATAAATTAATTATTCAAGGTTTCAATTCTATCTCAATTAACTATTTAAAAGTAGAAAAGTAGATATTTTTGGATGAATCATTAATTGAGATCAATTAAAACTTTTAAATTAAAAGCATTTAATATCCTAAATAAATTGTAGGAATATAAAGTTTTAAGAAAATATTTTTTTATAAGTGTTATAAATTTATTGCTTCACTATTTAGTTTTGAATCAAATACTCAAATAAATATTTCATTGCAAAATATTTCGTATTGTTAAAATATTTTTCATTCTTACCTAAATTATTTAATAAGCATTTCTGCAAATTTATTATAAATTACATCTTCTTTATTTCTGTTGAAATTAATGATTTAGTTAGTCATTAAAATGCAATGACGAATACTTCAAATCCATTTGTCTAAATTTATTCAAATAAATTTAATTTTACTAATTATACAATTTAATATTAAAATTATTCAACAAAGGATATAAGGTGAAAACATAATAATAATGAAAAATCAAAATTAAGAAAATTTTAAGAAAGTTTATTTTCATCCATAAAAATAAGCAATATTGGAGGAGCAGGAAAATTATAAACCTCAAATATTATCGTGTCGATTGATTTTTCGAGCATAAACTTGCTTTAAAAATTTTGGATTTGATATTACAACTACAGGAAAAGTTTAGATAAAACTATTAACCTTAGCTGTTAATTACGCACGAAATAATTTAGAATTTTATTAAGGGTGCTATCTTACTTAAAATATTATTGAATCTCTATCATTTTGTATTTCAATATCTCGCCTTCATTCCTAATTTCAAAATTTAAATCTGTATAATTATTCATTTTTTTTAATTACTCAAAATTTTTTTTGTTCATTTGTAGAAAGATGACTCTGATAATTTAATATTCTTCTATAATATTAATACCCAAGCTTACTCTTCTTTTGGGAATGATCCAGAAATTGATTTAAGTTCCACATTTTCTTTTTGTATATTAGGTTTGAGAAGAAATCTAAAACCTAACAACGAATCTGCTTTCAAAATGATGAATGAGCTCTGCAGACACTGATTAATCATCCCAATTTCTTTTAGTTATTATTTTATAGAATAAAGAATATAAAATACATATTATTAAATAAAAACATTAATTATTTTATTATAATGTTATCAAATATAAGTAAGCAACTTGATGATGGGGATATTATTATGAAAGAATATATTACTTAAATAATGATATGTAATAAAAAAGAAGATAAATAATAAGAAATTATATTTAAGTTAGTTAAGCTTTTACTTTGAAGGAATTTTAATATCTTAGAAATTCTTTACAAAAAGATTTTGCTACTAATTTTATAGATATTTATGACTATTTTAAAGAAGTATTAGTTTAAAGTCTTATATTTTTGCTTTAACTGTGTTAATGAAATATTATGAGCTACCTAAAGCAAAGCCCTGAACTTAACCCAAAATTTTTAGCATATTCTACCAATTTGCTCATTATATAAAGGATCAGTTACAAAATTATTAAATGTAATACTTGGACTTTTTGTTGGATTTCTTTTTGAAAAAAATAAAAGAAAATGTAGCTCTAAATAATTATTAAGGACTGAAGCTGATTTTTTCAAATATATTAGTTTATTGTTATTAATTACAAGACCATAAGTAACAGATTAATAAATGACTAACACTACATCATCAAGAATTTTTCATCTAATATTATTTTATTTTATTTTTTGCAATATTACTCTTTATTATATATTCTTTTTCCTCAATGTTTGTATTAATCCTATTGATTTCTCAACAGGCATAAAATTATCAATCACAAGCAACTCCAAACCTTTAAAAATTCTGGTCCTCAAACAAATAAGATTCTTTTCATTTTGTAGTATAAAACAAAAGTTTGAGTAATAGATATTCAATAATTATTTTAAGAAATAAAAAATGGATGATCCCGAAGATCTCTCTGAGATTTTTGCTTAAGTGCAAGGTGTGGATAAAAGAATATACTCTTTGATAATTTAGATGCAAGAAAAATAGAATACTAGAGATTGGATGGGATTTCTTTCAGATTATGAAAATCTAAGACATCTAGAAGAGTAGATTTCACAAAAAGAGGATTCAACATAAGAAGAAAAAGAATAAAGGATGGATGTTATGAGAAATAACATCAAACTAATTCTTAATGTCATTGTAAAAATTAAAGATCATGATTTTAATAAATAAGACTATTCTGATTAACGATATTTTGCACAGAGACAGGATCTAATAAAAAGAATAAGAGAATAAAATGAGATCATCGGATTTGTAAAATTCTTAGTTAACCTCACAGCCTATGATGAAAATTTAATACAATGTGGATCAAACTCACTAAATTTATTAGTTAATATGAAAGTGGACATTAGAAATTAAAATTTTGAAAACATCAGAATTAAGAATACTTCTTTATTCGGAGCTAATTTTTTTAGGTGCAACTTAAGCGGGTCATAACTAGATAATGTAGACATAAATGGAATGAATTTAAATGGAGCTTTATTACTTAATTGTAGATGGACCAACGTTAAAAAATAGGGTGAAATAAATAAATTAGATGGCCATACTGACAGTGTGAAATCAGTATGCTTCTCTCCTGATGGAAATATATTAGCATCTGGTAGTGAGGATGACTCTATCTGTTTATGGGATGTTAAGAAAGGACAATAAAAGATTAAATTTGATGGCCATAGTAGTTTAGTTCATTCAGTATGTTTCTCTCCAGATGGCACTTTATTAGCATCTGGTAGTTATGAAATAATTGGTTTATGGGACGTTAAGAAAGGATAATAAACGAAAATATTGAAAGGTCATGGTGATAGGGTTTAATCAGTATGCTTCTCTCCTGATGGTACTAAATTAGCATCTGGCAGTAAGGATACGTCTATCCAATTATGGGATGTTAAGACAGGATAATAAAAAAAAATATTGAATGGTCATAGGAAAACAGTCTAGTCAGTTTGCTTCTCCCCTGATGGAATTATATTAGCATCTGGTAGTGAGGATAACTCTATCCGTTTATGGGATGTTATGACAGGATAATAAAAGGCCAAATTGGATGCTCATAAGAATTCTGTCAAATCAGTATGCTTTTCCCCTGATGGAATTACATTAGCATCTGGTGGTTGGGATAAGTTTATCCGTTTATGGGATGTTAAGACAAGGAAGAAAAAAGTCTAGTTGAATGTAGATAGTTAGTATGTCTAGTCAGTTTGTTTTTCTCCAGATGGTACTACATTAGCATCTGGCAGTTATGATAAATATATCCGATTATGGGATGTTAAGACAGGATTTTAAAAGACCATATTGGATGGTCATACTCAGTCAGTTTTATCAGTTTGCTTCTCTCCTGATGGTAGTGCATTAGCATCTGGTAGTTGTGATAGGTCTATACGTTTATGGGATGTTTAGACAGGATTTTAAAAGACCGAATTGGATGGTCATAATGCACCAGTCTGGTTAGCATGTTTCTCTCCTGATGGTACTATATTAGCATCTGGCAGTAATGATAAGTCTATTCGATTATGGGATGTTAAGACAGGATAATAAAAGGCCAAATTGGATGGTCATACTCATTCAGTTTTATCAGTATGCTTTTCTCCTGATGGTTGTTCATTAGCATCTGGTAGTTTGGATAACTCAATCCGTTTTTGGGATGTTAAGACAGGATAATAAAAGTTTTAATTGTATGGTCATAGTAGTTAAGTCACCTCAGTATTCTTTTCCCCTGATGGAACTATATTAGCATCTGGTAGTTGGGATAATTCTATCCGATTATGGGATGTTATGACAGGATAATAAAAGTTTTAATTGTATGGTCATAGTAGTTATGTCACCTCAGTATTCTTTTCCCCTGATGGAACTATATTAGCATCTGGCAGTTATGATAAGTCTATCAGATTATGGAATGTTAAGACTGGATAAGAAAAGGCCAAATTTTATGGCCATAGTAATGTTTATTCGGTATGCTTCTCTCCTGATAGTACTACATTAGCATGTGGTAGTGAGGATAACTCAATCCGTTTATGGGATGTTAAGACAGGATAATTAATGTCCTAATTGGATGGTCATAGATATTCAGTTTATTCAGTATGCTTCTCTCCTGATGGTACTACATTAGCATCAGGTAGTATGGATAGCTCTATCAGATTATGGGATGTTACAACAGGATATTAAAAGTCTTAATTTGATGGCTATACTTATTAAGTTTTACCAGTATGCTTCTCTTCTGATTATACTACATTAGCATTTGATAGTGGAGATAAGTCCACCTGTTTATGGGATGTGAGGATAGGATAATAAAAGACCCAATTGGATGGTCATAGTATTTTAGTCAACTCAGTATGCTTCTCTCCTGATGGTACTATATTAGCATCTAGTAGACCTGATAAGTCTATCCGTTTATGGAATGTTCAGACAGGATTATAAGTGACCAAACTTGATGGTCATAGTGCAACAGTATGGTCATTATGCTTCTCTCCTAATGGAAATATATTAGCATCTGGTAGTACTGATAAGTCTATTCGTTTATGGGATGTTAAAACAGGGTAATAGTAGGCCAAACTAGATGGTCATAGTGGCTATGTCTATTCAGTATGCTTTTCTCCTGATGGCACTACATTAGCATCTGGTAGTGAGGATAACTCAATCCGTTTTTGGAATGTTAAGACCGGATAATAAAAGGCCAAATTAGATGGCCATAGTAGTTATGTTTATTCGGTATGCTTTTCCCCTGATGGTACTACATTAGCATCTGGTAGTTGGGATAAGTCTATCCGATTATGGAATGTTAAGACAGGATTATAAAAGATTAAATTGGATGGTCATAGTAGTTAAGTCAACTCAGTGTGCTTCTCTCCTGATGGTACTATTTTAGCATCTGGTAGAGCTGATAAATCTATCCGTCTATGGGATGTTAAGACAGGATAATAAAAGAACAAATTGGATGGTCATAGGAATTCAGTCATCTCAGTATACTTCTCTCCTGACGGTACTACATTAGCATCTGGTAGTAGCGATAACTCTATTCGTATATGGGATGTTAAGACAGGATAATAAAAGATCAAATTGGATGTTCATAAGAATTCTGTCAACTCAGTATGCTTCTCTCCTGATGGTACTACATTAGCATCTGGTAGTAGCGATAACTCTATTCGTTTATGGAATGTTAAGACAGGATTATAAAAGACCAAATTTGATGGACATAGTAGTTTCGTTCTATCAATATGCTTCTCTCCTAATGGTACTACATTAGCATAGAGTAATAGTGATAACTCTATCCGTTTTTGGGAAGGAAAGACAGGATAAGAAATTCAATCCTAAGATAAAAATTATAAAGATATTTTAAATTATTCTAAGACCCTACTTATCGAAAACAGTCCTCTTCCAGGTATTATTTCAAACATTTTTTTAGGCACTACCTATTTAAATATTTTATTAATTTCTTAATAATCTATTTTTTAAGCATAGGATGCTTTAGTTTTAAAAAGTGAATTTGTAAATAAATTAGGTATCAACTTATAGACACTATTTAAACAAAAAGGTAGCTGTATTTTTGAAAGCCAGTTAGACTCAAAATTAAAATGATTATCATTTCCATTACCAATATTTAAATTACCTTTAATTTTTATCCTAAATTATATTTTTATATTAATTTCTATTTTAAATTCTATATTAAATTAATTTTTACCATAAAAATCCTATCTACTTACTTAACAAATCATCTCTTTTTTATGTTCATTTATTTTAAGTTTTTATAAGATAATTTAAGATTAATCAACTATTTAGGATGTTTTATTTCAACATCTTATTCATTCAAAAATTTCTGAATGTAAATTTATTGAGGATAAATAACTAATTTCAATTTGTAAATTAAATTCCAAATTATTATGACTTCGTTATCAGAAAAAAAACATAAAATATAAAAGAAAATACTTTAAGTATCAATATATCCAAATTCTAAAAATGTATATTTATAAGATGGAGATGAAAAATGAATTTTTAATTTTACTAATACCCCTAGAATATTACTCTCAATTCATATAAATGAACCAATAGTTCTAGTTATATATATAATCAAATAAATTGATTTAATTAATTACATAACAAAAAATTAAAGAACACTTGAGATCAAACCTTTAAATCCAAAGCAAATTCAATTAATTATCAGAATTTTTTCTATCATTTTTCAATACTCTTTTATCTTAAGAAAAACAACATTGGTTATAATATGTATGAAATTAAATTTTATTTATTCTTTGAAATTTTTTAAATACCCAAACAGTAGCTTTCTTAAAAGTAGCTACTTCAAAATAAATTCCGCCATGACTAAATGCTATATCTATAATTCTATTCTAATAAGACTCAATAATGGTTAAGTTTAAATATTATGAACAATTTTGATTTATAGAACAACTTTATTGATAGTGTCATTAAATATACAAAGGATGAATAAGATTTCTCATTAAGTTCTTATTATATGATTATGTTATTTTCAATTATAAAATAAAAATGATATGTAAAGGTATCCATTATTCACTAAAGAAGAATAAGCAATTAAAGTTGATTATACATTGTTAGGATAAAATTAAATTATGTTTCAATTTTTTTTGATGAAAAAATAATTTCTTTGTGAATGATTGTAAGTAAATACCTATTTTGGAAATCACTATTTTCTGATAAAATAAAAAGAAAATTTTTTAATTGAAGGATTCTTTAGATGATAAAAAGTAGTTGAAAAGGATTAGTTTGTATTTGTTAATAATAAAAGCCAAATTATGTTATTTTCAACATCATATTCTAAATTCTATTTCTAAAAATTTAAAAGGACATAAGTTGTATGACGTATTTTTCTTAATAAGAATGTTTAAAATATGCACAGATGAGAAATCATATTTTGGGATGTTAAAGCAAAAAAGAATGTTGGTATGTTAAAAAGTCTTTTGAATAAATAAAGTCAATTCAGTTTCATAGGATGGTAGCTCCTTGCTTTATAAATTTATAAAAAATTAATAAAGCTTTGGAATATAAAAGTTAATGAATCATCTAAAGCATAAATACCTCATTAATATTCCATTAGTGCACTATCTGTATCTTAAGGCAAGTTTTTATTAACTTGTGGATGTGTTAAAGATATAAAAGCTGAAGTGGCAATTATAATGTGGGATTTAAATGGATAAAAAGCTTGATACCTAAATGCAAGGACATAAAGATTGAATATCCATAAGCTTACAAATTATTAGATATAATAGACGAATTCACTTTTCCTAAGAGTTCTCTAAGTTTTTCAACAAAAGATTGAAGGTTTATCTTTTTTTGCAAAATTGATAATATCAAAAAATGAAACTTGAAATAAACTTAAACATTATGAAAAGAAAAGCCAAATATATATTGCTTTTCTCAATAAAATTAATTTACTTAAGTTTAATAAAGTTAAGAATAATTCACAATTCATAAATAGAAACTAAAAAATAATAAATTTTAGAAAAGATTTCAAAAGTTAACTAAATTATACATTCAAGGTAATTTATTTTTGTTTTAAAAGATAAGGATTATGAGTCAAGGATAATAATTGGTTCAAAAAAAAGGCTTATGTATCATAATCAAATTTTGTAATACTTTCTTCAGATATATTATTTTTTATTTTCAATAAAGATTTTTCAGTTTGAAAAAAATTTAGAAAATTGATTCATCTTATTAACATCTATAAGGTACTGAAAAGATAATACACTTTATATTTGATACACATGAATTACTAATAATTTGCTTTTTCATATGACTTAATTCAAATTGAAATATCCAAAGCTTATGAAATTAAAAATGTTTGACACTACTACTACTAATTGGTTGGGTTAAAATTTTAGATAACTTATAATATCTAAATATAAAAAATATTTAGCTTGTTAATAAGACATACAATAAATAAGTAATGAGAAATATAATAATATGATTACTTGATGGTAAATTAAAATCCAGATTATCAAAGTTAACTAAAAGTTAAAGATCGTAATTTAAACATATATTAATCTTCTGTTAAAACATATTATTTTTGCTTTATATAATGATAAAAGTAAGAGAATGGAATGTAAAAAAAAATTTACATAAAATTCAAGAATTACTTTAGGAAAAAATTAAGACAAATCCAGCATAATTTTCTAGAAATTTACATTCTTAATTTATTTAAGTCAAAAAAATTCACAATTAATGGTATGGAATTTTCAAATAAAAGATAATCCTCTTTGTCAGTTAGAGAAAAAATTTATCTTATTGCTAATATTGTTGTTGCTATTAGAAAAGGAATAATTTTTTGTAAGGGTCTTAAGAACCTATGATATATTTTTTTGATGATTTTTAACATGTATAATTTTTCATTTATGCGCTACCGGATGATGATTTAGAAATTACTATTTTATCATAATATACTATTACTATATAGAAGAAACATCAAAAAATAGAAGTCTCGATGAATATTATTTCTAAATATTTTTTTTTAAAACTCAACAAATCATAATTGAATTAAATGTTAAATTAACATAACTCACTGATTAAAATCTTAAATTTTTTATTGTACCTATAACTAATTAAATACAAAATTCCTATAAATCTTAGTAATTAAGTACAAGTCTTAAAGCTATACAACTATTTACAAATCTGAGTTATAGAACATAGAAAATTAAGAATAAACTTGCTTTTCATCTGATAGTAAATATTTGTTTAGCTTTTCATCTTCTTTATAAATTTAAGAGTTATAAAATCTTGATATGATTCATAACTTTTAAGTTTTAATAATTCAATTGATCTTAATAAAACAAATTACTATAAAAAATAAAGTTTTGAATAAATAGAATTAAATGAGGATTCTTCTTAAGTTCAAATATTTGGTTATAAATCATTTGCTAAACAAACATTATTGACTGCTCAATAACACCTTTTCTCAAAATCTTATAGAAAAATTATAACAAAAATCTAATATCGAATTCTTTAAATGTTTGAAAAAATTAATATCTATTATCGAATAAAAATTAATGGGTCTAAAATATTTTGCCAAAATCTCAATAATTATATTTATTTATTATAAAATATCACGTTTATATATGTTTTCAATATTTTGTAATATCTATTAATTTAATGTGATTAATAAAATTAAATTATGAAATCCACATGTATTTTAACAATAATTCTAATTTAAGCTTTTAAATTCATGAAATATTTTGAAGAAATCTTTTGCTTTGGATTAAAAAAAAATTCTAGAAAAAGTTTATTTTTTTTAGATTTTTTTTCTTTGAAATTTCTATGTCAAACTCAAGATTTTTTTGATTTATGATGTAAGAGAAAATTAAAATAAACTCCCTGCAATATTTAGGGTACATTTTGAATAAATAAGATATAAGATTTGGAAATACATCGAAAAAAGATTTATCAATCCTAAGTACTTTTATTCCTCAAAGCATTTTTTAAATTTAGGCTATATGTATTTATTTTTAGGGTAAAAATTTATTAGTATAATTTTTAATTCTTGCTATTAAATTAATATACTATTTTATCAATACTATTATTAGCCAATCAAATTTTAAACTAACTTTAATAAATATTATTGTAGTTCGTTTAAAAAATTTAAGTAGCTTTATGATTGAAATGAATCTAAGATTGCAATTTATAAATAGAAGTGTAAATTTTATATAAACGAATTTTTGCTTCCATTTAAAATATGATCATGTCCATTTTAATATCTATTGTTCTTATTTAAAAAGGCATGCTTATAAATTATTATAATATTGGCTTTGACAACTTAAATATGAAACTCTTTTTATCGATTATTTAAAAAATAAATATTTCCAAAAGAATCAAAATTTGATTCTAACTTAGAAATTTGTTATAGTTGTGAGAATAATAGTGTTGCTTCTAATTTTGATACTGCTGAACCTTAAAGGTCAAAATTTAATTTGTGATTCATCTAAGAGGTGGAGCATGTGGATATGCTAAACCACTTAAAAATTCTAAAAAAAGATAATTATTGGTGTATCTAATAATTTTTTGACTTAACTAAAAAAAAATTTTTATATAATCAATACTAAGGTTTTGCTGGTAGCTGATGCTTGACAGAGAAATGAAGTAATTATAGCATTTTGACGGTTTATTTATAATAGAGAGCATTTCAATACTTGTTGTCAAATTAAATTTGTTCAATTAATTTTATAAACAAAATACATATTATTAAATAATTGAAAACTAAAAATATGAACAATAACTTCATTCATATATACAAAAATATTAAATTCTTTTAGGGATTTGCTAAAAATTCTGCCAGTTTATTTAAGAGCCTTATAGTTTTTTGCTACTAAGTTCTATAAATCTGCAATGACTTCTTGAAAATTATATATTCATTCTTAATACAAATAATGGATATATAAATGGAATTAACAATGTAATAAGAATTCTTATAAGATCTAGAATAATTTAAGGAATAATTGGAAATTGAATAAACAAATGTGTGGAATACAGGAATAAAGTATGAAAAATTTTTACTAGAATTATGTTAATGGATTTTCAGACAAATTCAGAAGAAGGATAAATCTGCTAAATAAATATTGTAAAAAATTAGCACAATCAGCTTTGTAAATGTCATCCACAGAAGACTTAATCCCAAGCCTTCTTGTAGGAACTAAACTCCTTTTTTCCAATAAAAAGATAAAGTATTATATCCTGGAGAGTCGTACGCTATTTATTATTTATTCCAAACTCTTAAATAGCCTATTGTGAGGCAATTAAAATCTTAATATACTTAAATTCAATAACTTAAAGATGCATCTTAATTATATATTATAAATTCAGACAATTTGATCATTTATTATAATTGGATATCAATGATAGTAGATTTATTAATATATAGACCGATTCTTGATAAATTTGGAATTTTTAAAATACTCCAATTAATAATAATCAAATGGAACTATTTAATTGAAAATAACTTAATTCTTACTCTCCCTTATCATAGAAACCAAGCATGTAGTATTTCAAAATCAAGTAAAATATTTTAGCAAAGAAATAAATACTTTAATGTGATTTCTAATAAATGAAAAT